GCGCGCTTATTTATCTTGATATTTGGGCCGGGTCCTAGATTTTTATCACGTCGGAGATCCGAGCGATTAATTAAAGAGTCTCCCCTCCCAAAGTTTCCCCAATTTTATTTAAGACGAGAGCATTATGAAGAAGGGATCGTAATAATAATAATTTTAATAATAATAATTTTATTGAACCTTTTGTTGCCATTCATACAATGGAAAGGTAAGTCAGTAACTATTGTATAACAAATAAAAAATGATTAAATCTATAATAAGCGTGGGGATATTTCAATTCAAATAACATACAACAGATAACATCTATGACTTCACATATTCTTGGAGCGAGTAATAGCAATTGCTGACTAGATAAATTCTAAGAGCATTTGTAGTTTGAGATCGTTCCGTATTCTGATTATTTTTTGCATTATTATTGTACTGTTTAATTACAAGGTTTAATATTTTCCCTCCGTTATCATAAGGGAGGTGTTTGCTTTCCTTTGTTTTAATTTCCACTAAATATAGATAGGCAACTTCTGATGGCGCTCGAGATTAACCTTACCGACTCCGCCGATTAGAGCAGCTTCTGCTGGAAATTTTATATAATTGTAATTTTATTGTTAACGCATTACGTATAGTTTAAATTTTCTATTTTCATCACTATCATTTATTTTTGATTTTGTTTTTTTTTTTTTTTTATTGTTAGTCTTTTTTTTTCTTTTTTCATTTTGTTAAATGCTAGAAATAGCAAATGAATTGCCTGGTATCGATGATAAGTATATTAATTTGCAATCATTTTCGAGCTCCGTGAAAAATGAGAAATGTGAATTGTTTAGTATATTTCACACAAATAAAAAAATTTTGATTATTTAGCAAGTATCAAACCACTTCTAAACTCCATGCAAGTGATTGTATTAAGCGAAACGTGGAATTGCGTAAGTACAAAATACTTTGAACTGAATGGCTAATGGCTTTATTACAACGCGAGTAAGCTAAACCAAAATGACGGTGTAATAATATATATTAAATTAACAATTATACAATCCGCTAATAACATTGTGATTAATGGGTTTTGATTTATAAGAACACGATTAAAACTGCACAATCATATAATAATCATGACAAGCATCTATCGCCCACCATCTTATGATATCAACTGCTTCTTAACTTCTCTTAAATTATATTTTAAAAATCATATCGAAAACTGTGTTGAAATTCTAATCGGAGATATAAATATAGATTTATTAAGCAGTGGAATTCATAATTAAATTGTTGAGTGAATTTTCATTTGTTCCATATATCAACAAGCCTACAAGAATATCTGGTGATTCACCAATCATGCATAGACCACATTTTCTAAAATTATTGCCCATTGAAGAATCGTTTAATCATTTTATAAACGTCTGCAAAAAAATTATTGCTTCTACTACTATTATTAAACACAAAAGAATTAAAAAGAAGAAAGAGTGGGCAAAAGATAAATTATTTTTATTTTTTAAGTATAGTTTGAATAAATCTTGTTTTATTAGAATTTCTTGCAATAATTCAACATACCTGTCATATCAAAAACAAAGAAATAAAGTAAGTAATTTAATAAAATTTCAAAAAATGAAATATTTTCAAAATAATATTGCACATACTCAAAATATATCTGAACTATGGGAAGCGACCAAAAAGGCAGCTAATATAGAAAAATCAAAAGTCCCTATAAAACGAATAGTTGACGAGAATGGATACGTAGTGAAGGATATGAGTGAAATAGTGGAATTTTTTAATGACTACTTCGTATCCGTTCCCGAAACGTTAGCTTCTCGTGTCAGTACCTCGGGAACTTACAAAGATACCATCTCTTTTGTTACAAAAACTTTTTCATGGTGTCCAATCATTGATAAAGACGTAGAAAACTCTATAAAAGACTTAAAGGTAAGAGTATCAGGTGGTTATGACAATATTTCTTCGAGTACATTAAAACTTATCGCACATTCCGTCACCCTACCATTATCCACACTATACAATCGTTGTCTTATTGAGGGATATTTTCCTACTGTTTTAAAAAATGGATATACCCTTACATAAAAGTGGTGATAAGACCAAGGTAAGTAATTACAGACCAATTGCACTAACCAGTTTTGTCAAAAATATTTGAAAAAATTATTCACAAACAATTACTGTCTTTCTTCCAAAGATTTGATATTCTTTCAGGATCACAATATGGATTTATGAAAAATAAATCGTCTGAAGATGCGCTGACTGACCTTGTTAAAAAAATTATAACGCCTCTTGATAACTCTGAGTATTGTCTAGCAGTATTCTTAGATCTTGCTAAAGCTTTTGATACAGTGATTCATGACATATTATGTGATAAATTATTTAAATATGGCGTTAGTCTTTCACTTATTAAATCGTATCTTTACAATAGAACACAAGCTGTAAGAATTGATGGGACGATGAGTGCTGAAAAGACTGTAAGGTTTGGAGTTCCTCAAGGATCTATTCTGGGACCTTTACTTTTTATAATATATATAAACGACCTATTGAATTTATCACTGCAAAATGCTAAGTTGTTCTCGTATGCAGACGATACAGTACTCTTTGTCTCGGCAGATTCAAAAAATAGATACAACCTCAGGTCATATGAGCATAATTAAACACTGGCTAGATAACAACATCTTAACGTTAAACTACCAAAAGTCCTCTTACACTGTAGATAATGTAGACAGTTTGCTCATACACGTAAAGGATTGCACAATGAGACAATGTAATTGTGACATAAAAATTAATAAATGTAATACTGTGAAGTATTTGGGGGTCATGTTAGACAGCCGCCTAAGGTGGGATACTCAAATTCAATACCTAACCAACAAATTAAGGAAACTAATATATCTTTTTAAATCTATAAACAGTGTAATGAGTGTCGCTTCCAAGAAAATTATTTATTACGGCGTATGTCAATCTATAATATCGTATGGGATATTAACATGGAGGTCAACACCAGATGTTTACATGAGTCGTTTGTTTATTGTCCAAAAACTAATTTTAAAAATATTATTTCGAAAACCGTTAATGCTATCATCAGAACAACTCTTTAAAGAAACTAAGTTGTATTCTATTTATCATCTTTACATACTCACCTTATTAAAATACATCTACAAAAGCAAGTCTACACTGCTTAATGTTCCTACTCACAACTACACTACAAGATTCAAAACTTTAAGTTTATCTTACAATATAACAGTTAACAAACAAATTGCACAAAAAACTTCACTTTTCATGTAATCAAGGTCTATAGGTAACCATTTTCAACTAAAGTACAATATCTCCTCGTTTTTTATTCTATCGAATAAATCATTTTTGAAAAATGTAAAAAAAATTTGTGCTTCAATGAGTATACAAGAGGTTCGAAACATTCTTTTAGTTCAAATTTAATTTAACTATTAGTCCTTTTATTTATTTTTATTTTTAGCTTATTTTTATTTCATTTCTTAGTTTTTTTTTAAATTTTATTTTTCTTTTTTTTTTAAATTCTATGATCAAGTTATTCACCTTGCACCTGACAAAAGATATTAACAAGTTTTTAAACTTAGATATCTGCTGCAGGTATGAATTCAGTGTTGATATGTTTTTTTTCTCTCTTTTCTTTTTAATGTCCAATGTACCCATGTTTGTGTGAATGAAACTCCGTAGATTTTATACATTTATTTGTAGTGTAATAATTTTTAAGTTTAAAGTGAAAAATATTTTGTTTTTTATGTACAAATAAATGGCTTATTATTATTATTATGATTTTGCGTATGAATGTGGTCTAACCATTTACCATACAAGATCGTTTCGCCTCAACTCCCCCATTTACTAAAATGTGTTCTCTTACAGTAAAGGCGAAAATAAAAACCGTAATGAAGAAATTTGACTGTTTATTGAATCCTTTGCCCCTTATCCTTGAGGACAGAAGAGGGTTATTGACCGACGAGCACCCGCGGCATATCAATATAAGTACACAACAAGAACGACCCCTAATTTAATCAACCAGTAGGAGAAAAAGGAAAATTTGTAACAATCCGTTACAAATCGAAACGGTCACAAAAAATCAAAACGGTCTGAACCGAAACGTACTGTCGCATAAATTTGTCCATTTTCCTAGAGATCCCATCATTTTAAGAGGTTTTTCTTTCATTTAACGTTAATAAGCGAACTATTAGACTTTCGCCAATTACAATTACATTAATATCCATTTAATAACCGTCAATAGTTAACTAGAAAACTCTCCCTAATTACAAGTTGGAAATCGACTAGTTCTAACACAAGCCTAATAAATCCCCAACGGTCCTGGAACCTGTAATATTCCTTCATTAAGCGACGGGTCCTTTTCCCATCTAATAAATTAGCGGTTCTCAATAATATTTAACATTTATGAGATCCTTTTAGGTAACTAACGCAAGAGCATATATTACGCGGTCAATATGTGTACAATATAATTTGTGGGGAGGGGGCGATAATAAAGATGGCATTTGCGGAATAGCGCCAGGTAAGGGTAATTCCCTCTCATTTAGGAAAATACCTCCATAGCCCTTTATTAAATTCCTGTCGAGTTATGAGTTGTTTCCGATAAATTAGATGTATGTAGTTGTAGTAGTTGAGAACTGCATTAGGGGTAATGGTTTGGAACAAAGTTAGGACTTGTGCATGGCAAGGGGAAGGAAAAGCCGAAAGGATGAGTTTTAGATTGCCGTGCAAGGAGTATACCTCGTAGCGATAGAAACGTAAACCTTTCGGGACTTACATGGAAATGGCGTTACTATCAGAGTTCCGCTATAAAATTCGCCACGTTTTCCACCGAAGTCTATTTGCAGTGAAAGAAACTACGAAGGGAATCTCTGCACCTATAAACTTCTTATTACCGCTTTACGCGAGATGGGAAAAGTTAGTTAATGCGTCATATGTACCTACTACATGCAAACGCACTTTCATCTCACGACGCGATTAGACCGAGGTACCTAACGAGCGCGAAAATTGCAAAAAGAAAGTCACTTACTATCCAGCCACTTTGAGTCGTACTTCAAGGTCCGTTTAAAGCTGTACTCTCTTCTGCCGGTCGTCAGGTTATGCAGATCCGTCCTGAAGATGACCGTGTCCGCCTTCGTAAATTCGGCATTCGTACCAGAATACAACCCGGGAAGATCGCCAGGATTTCCCTTTTCCACCCATACCGCGGTCGAGTTATCGGCAGGATCGTATGGACACTTTGCTATTCCCATTCCAATTCCCGGAACGAAAGTGTTTCGGCCCAGATGCGTTAGGTTCGACTGCAATTAAAAAAAATCAAGCGTAGAAATTTTATCTCCACGAAAACCTACCCCTATCCATTCCGACAGAGTCGACATAATCTCGTATTTACATTTTCCATTATTCAGAACTTGCATAAAGGTAAAATCAATAAAAGAATCCCTTCTTAAAGCCACGAGGAGAAGGGCTCTTAATGTTTCTGAATTTTTAATGCTCATTGCCACAGTATAGGCATTTGGTGGGAAAAGGTTTGACGAAATAAATGTCGAGATCTCGTATTCTTTGACGTGACGCGTCCTTTATACGAAATACCCAAATCCGAGACCAAAATATTTATTTTAAATTTAATCTCGAAAATGTCATATTAGTATTTGATATTCGTTCCGCTACATTCCCTCCCTTATCGCGTTTTCAAATTCAAAGAGAAACGGGCACGTATCTTGCTTTCAATTGCTCACCCTACGCATTATAATTGTCAAGCAAATAAATGCGCATTCATGCGTAATGCGCGATATTGCGCTATATTAAAACAAATCGTTTTTGGATGTGTAAATGTTGTCGAGGGAAAATACGCTGAAAATTTCTGAATGTCGTTATGCGAAATGTACTGCCAGTTAATAAAATTGAATGCGCGCACTTCTTTTGAGTGCACAAGAAAATCTAATTACGTGTAAGTATTTGGCATTAAATCAATTACCTCTCGCTAGAAGTTCAATGCAAAAAATGGGTCACTTGAACAATTAATCTATCGCAATATACTAAAAGCGACTTGACACTTGATTCTTAGTTTTCTTAAAGATATCAACCTCTGGGAAGCTATTTGTATTGCATGTATTTTTACGATTTATTAATCCATTAACATTGGATTTGATAGAAAAAATCAGTTTCTTAGTAGTAGTAATTTTCTGTTTAATTTTGCCAGCAAGCAATCTGGAAAAACAGGTTTTGAAGTCCATTTTCAAAGAGAAAAAAGGAGAAATCTTCAGTACGTCACTGTAAAATGGATGTCAAAGGGTATCCGGAGGTCAGTTAATTATTTTGCTTGGGAAGGTCAACTCCCTTTATTAAATTGAAAACAAAAACCTGCCAAAAATTGAAACTTAACATTCGAAATTTAAAACATTAATATTGTAAAGCTTCAAGCCTAAACATTAATCGAAGCAAAATTGTAGTACGAGGTGTGAGCTCTACTTCCTTTGGGTTTACGATCATCTTCATATGAAGGCACTATGCATCTCTCTAGAGCAGACCATAATTTTTTGATGAATCATAAAAGTTAATGACACATGCTGTAAAACACAAAATCTCAATACTTCTTAGTAAATGCGCTAGTCGTTGAAGAGATTGCAACTACTTTCAGGTTCAGAGTAAGTCATTTTACTTGGAAAGGATCATAAAAATTTAAGAATTAAGAGAGTGAAACCTGACGATCGCCATTAGCGGGTTAATAATTAACTAAATTCTTATTGAACAACGTAAAGTGGAAGTGCTTTCCTCCAATGAAAGTTAATTTAATATATAAAGCTTTAATGAAGAAGACTTAATATGAAGTTTATGAAATTTTAATACAGAAACTTAGCTCCAGGTGGGTAATTGGGCCTCGGAAAACCTCATCCCTTTTAAAACTTCTTATTACCTTTCATTACATGACACGCCGCGTCGTGTTTTAATAACGTCGACTTTTATTCTTGAAATTTATTAATAATAAACCTTAAAACTAAGCATGTTTGTTATGGCGCCCTAAAAAACTTCCAAACATCACCGTTTCGGTGGCGGTGAAATTTTAATAAAATATAAAAGGTACTCACGTGAACGACCCAATCTTTGGGGTTGTGGGCGTTTGTTCCGCAGAGGTACAGTCTGGTGCCGTCGCCGACGGGTTGGATGACACGAATGTGGTTGCGGCAGTCGAAGTGCTGTAACAAATGGAAATAATAAATTATTTGTTCTCCATTATAAAAAAAGCTTAATTTCAATCGTAAGTACATGTATTATTAAAGGCATTAACAAAAAAAAAACGATTAAAAGTGAGGATGACGAATTTATATGGTTAACAGATGAGTCATTGGAACATACCCCCTAAAACGTTCTCGATTCTGAGAGTATTAGGAGGAATCTACCAGGGGCAACTTTAATTTCTCAATTGGAGCACATTTTGATTTATATTAATGAATTCAAGAGCAACATTGAAAGTAAATTGGAGTGGAAATCGAAAATGCTCCACCGTGGGCTTTCAGTACGCATTATGGACTCAAAATAAACACGCATGTGAAGACAGGGACAGTACATGTGTAGATCTCAAGTTTACAGATCGAGTAGCTCTGAAAAGAAACATTTTGATTAATTGGAATTTTTCTTTACAATAATTCTTTGTTTCGCCGCTAGAGGCCATCCAAGTGTTATAGGTTTATTTTACAATAGATTTTTAGTTCTTTTATCTTTTTTTCTACTTACGCGTACCATTCGCGCCGTGATTTTGCCTTCATATTGATTGCATGTATATTTTTCTCAGTACGCCAATGCTTTTTACTGACTTTTTGTCTAACTGGATAAGGGCTTATTGGTTTTGGCTGTCACCATACTTGGTTGGAGTTATTTCTCTTTCTGATGTTCCTGTGGTTGCTCCATTGAAGCGCTTCTCGCGGATTTGCATTTGCAAGTAACAGTGCGATGTATGTAACGATCAGCATTTTTCTTTAATACGTAATTTCTTTAGCTCAAACTTTGTGTATAGTTCCCATCGTCCTTTCCCCTAAATTGCTTTTACGTTATGATCTACCTGGATATTGTCTATTGTCTACGTAGTACTCGAATAAAATCGCATTTTTACCTGAACCCGCCATCTGAGCGAGATCGACATTGGCGACATCATGTGATTCGACCTCATTCTACCAAAATTAGAGGACAAAGATGTGCATCTACCTCATTCTACCTACATTAACCTGGTGGTTAGTTCTTTACTAGGAGAAGGTAAAAGTTGTCGCTTTGATTTCTAGCGTCGTATTTTAAACGTCGAAAAAGCAATCCAGATGCTGTAACTAATTTCACACAACGAAGAATTGACATAATTTATAATGTTTTCAATTCTCGCGTCAAATTTAGCTATGGCATGGGGTCGAAGTCGTAGAAATGATTGCAAGGGGTGCAAATGCGGGTCACACTAATACAGACTATTGTATAAAATATAGATCACAAATAAAGTATTATTATTATTATTATTAGATTAAATTTGCATCCTTTTCCTACCGCTGTAACTTTGTTCTATATCGAATTTAGTAAAATTTTGGATATTCACAATTTTGCAAAGTGGTTGCGAATTTCACATTACATTACTTTTAGTTAATCAAATATTAATCTACTTTCAATTTGCACCCTCGTACGGAGTTCGGAAAGTATTTTTTTCGATCTTTAGTTAGTGTATAAGTACAACTTTTATAATTGTGTGAGAATAGTTATTGCGTCTTGTTGTTTTTAGCACATTTTCCAACGTAGTTGGGTGCGCCATTGCCGAGGCCATTGCAGTCACTTTATCTGCTCGTCCATTATTTATGTAGATATTTCTTTGAAATTTTAACCATACGTCCAGTAAAGAAAAACAGCGCCCATAATAGCTATGGCCTTTCGGGAAATATTGATCAGTGCATGGAAAATGCACTGAAGTTACTCGCCTTAGGGCGATAACCTTTTTACTTGCACTTTTTATTTGTAAAAGTGTAGTTTTTATCTTACTTTGACCGGCTGACTGGCTGGCAGGCAGAAAATGAGATACTTGCTCTAGTGCATGATGAGTGATGACATTCGGAAACCAATCTAGAGGTGATTTTACAGTGGCCAAGTGTCTGTAGGACAGAACTTTTTTGCACTGAGCGTTAGTCCTACCAACTCTGACTGGAATATAGTAGGAAGTTTGGCTAGTGGTTGGGTGGGTTGTAGGACAATTCGCACCCGACTAATTCGCTCACGGACAATTCGCACCAGAATTTCGCTCCCCTGAGAGGGTATTTTGTGTATGGTTGACTTTTAACATAGAAAGTCGGCTGTGAAGTATTAAATTAAATCAGAGCTTGAAATCTCCAATATTACTCACCAATATCACGTTTTATTACTTTGTGCATGTAATAGACGTATACCTACATTTAAAATTTGGATACTTTCAATATTAACATATAATTTGGAATCGTGACGTCCATTTTGTGTTCAAACTCTAAATGGGATAATTTATTAATATTGAATAAAAGTTCCCTAAACCGTTCCCATATAATTTAATAAAACGAAGTGATACACTACATGTTTCGACCAACGGTCATCTTCAGGTGATCTACAAGATGGTAGAGATATTGAGGAGAGACTATAGCTATAAAACTTACAATAGATGGAAAACAATTAAAAACCCAAAAGGGCAGTAAAACTGGAAAGGCCAACGACCATATCCGTGGTTGGTTCCAGAGTAAAATTGAAATTTGAAGAGGTTGATAAACTAAATTTTTTGCAAGGGAGGGCCGAACCTAAAAACTAACATTAGACGACGGTATAAGCAACGATGAAACTTACGTATAAAAAAGTCAAAAGGTCAAAAGACGATATCCTAACTAATAAAATACCCAATTAAGGGCTTTGAAACTGGAAACCATCTGCACTTCCAAAATCAGTGCTCGGTTTAGCTAATCTTACCTTGTCATCGTTGACCCAGATCCTGGCATTGCATGTTAAACTAAGAGCCGATGGATCCTTCTTTGCTCTTCTCGCTCGACACAGCCATGATGAGCAGTTTTGGAGTTTAAGGTTCTTAGCAAAGAGGTACATGTATCCTTCATAGATTATGTATCTCTTTCCCCTTTTCGTTGTACCGAACTCCATTGTTACGCGCCCGTATAGTTTGCACCGCCTAAATCTCATATCCATTATCAACTTTTTGTAACAAATCAAATTTCAACTTTTAGCCTCAGGGACAAGTCCATTTTTGATGATATTTTCCTTGATTTTGGCATTTTAATGTAGCACTTAAATATTTATGTTGGTTAAATAATAGCTATACAATTTGTAGAGGAATAATTTTTTTAATAGTATTTATGAGGCAAGAATTCATACGTACAATCCTATGTACCTTTTTAAATGGAATGGACCATATCAAAGCAGTAGAGATTTTAGGTCACTTTAATAGCATCCATATCACTCAAAATCTGGAATTTAGTACTTATTTTATTGTAATCTCCGTATTAAACATGAGAACACTTGCTAAAGGTACCATGAATGAAAATTCATTTTAAAAAAAACAAAAAAAAAGGTAAAAAGACACTCATCCGTGATGTAAATTGTCCATGCACTCATGTTCACAAGTAGACGGATGCTGCTAAACGCTGGTATCGGTCTATCAGCAAAACTGTCACCTGACATTTCTTAAACCTATTTACCCAGTTTAATTGTACCAATTCACAATCAAGGTTTTTTTCATTTGGAAACCTTTTAGCACGTACAAATAATATTGCAATAGGAATATAAAAGTCTAAATAAAATTTTAACAATTATTATTTGTTAATAGCTGCAAGTTAAGTTTCCTAGTTCTCTAACCTTCGATGTCGTCCATTTAAAGGACACATAACGAAATACGTATGTATTGTCTTAAAAGAATCTCAAGTAAATTATAATCATATTTGAACGTAAAACAAATAGATTCTTGAGAGTTTCCGTAAAATTAAAGAGATAAGAACTGTAAAGTAACGAAAAAAGCAAAAAATGTTGATAAATATCGTGAAAAAAATTGATCTTGCTATAAATTATATGGCTATTATTTAAATAATATACTGAAATTGTGAAGATCCATGACTCTCAATGGGGTGCTTAAGAAACTTCGGAGAAATAACACCAAAATCTACCCATTTATTATTATAACAATTTTTATGGGGAGATTTTGGTGTTATTTCTCCGAAGCTAAATAATATACGGTGGTGCATTAGAAACGATACATAGCTATTTCTGTAAATTAAAATAATTTTCAAAAAACGCTTTGGCACGTCAAATTGATCATGGAAGGAAACAGTGTCTAAAATAAAACTTGCTCACTAATGTCTTTGTCTCGCATCGCTGACAGTGCAACCCTTAAAATCTTAAATGATGCATCGCTGGTAAGGTCGCCCATCTCTGAATTCGGATATGTAATTTTTTTGGTTTAGTTGTTTCATTTCCAGCGCATTCCACGTTGCAGGTACAAGTTTTCTCTTTTTATACCACTTGCAACTGCATAATTTTGCGCACGATCGAGTTATCTTCTATATTACATAGTGATCGGCCCGACATCCTTGCAATGACATAAACAACAGCGCGCCCTCAACTTACTTTTAAAATATTTCGAAAGTATCAAATCTAAAAAATTATAGTCTCACGAAATTCAGAGAAGGAAAGGCTTTCCAATGATGTCCTATCTTCCTTGTTGCGCAATTACCAATGCTAAGGGTTTTGCTTTAGTACTAGGTATGCCATACAAAAATTAAAAAGGAAGTATATAGGTACTTAATAATTACAAACATTTAAAAGAAAAAATCATCAATATCGACCTGTTCCTAAAACGTTTCAAGATTTTCAAAACCCTTACTGTTTTGATTATTAACAATCTCTTAAAAAAGTGCCAGAATTTTTCCATGTATCTCTTCAAACTAAAAATAAATAACAGTAAGAAAATCAAAAAGAAACTTTAAGTTCATTCCCTACCATAGTTGTAACAAAGATAACGCAAAAAAATAAGCAGCACTACCACCAGAAATAAAATTTTTTAAAATTAAAAAAAAAGTATACACAAAATCAAAACCCGTGCTCAGATAAATTTAAAATACCACTCTGTCAAACGTTCAAGAATGAAGATACTATACAGGCGTTGAAGTTCTAGTTAGTTGTGATCATACGTACTTAAACCTGATTTTTC